GGGGGGGGGGGGACTGAGATATTTTCTCTTTGCTGTTTACCCTGAGATTATGTTACTGATACTGCTGGAATAAACTTAAGAGTTGATGATATGTTTAACAGGTCTTACCATGTTTTTGAAACAGACCCACGCCTAACAGACTATGATACATTGCTGAAAAATATCAATGATCTGAAGACTGGGAAGCCAGCAGAGATTCCAATATATGATTTCAAATCTAGTTCGCGAATAGGATACAGGTCCAGCTCCTTACTTTTAAATGTAAAAGTGTACGTTCTTATGTGCATTTAGCCATTTTGTGTACAAGGTACTAAACATAAACCAAAACAAGTTTGTACACCTGTTTTTGGACTGTGGACTGTATTAAGTGTTTGTTATCTGATAAATTTATCCGGAAAACATGTCTAGAAAATTTTGCATATCAATGTATTATCTTTTTATGTTGCATGGAATAAAAATATAACTTGAGTGCAGCTAGGTCACATGGACACCATATTTGCCTTGATATGCACGTGTTAACCAGTTACAGCATTGGCTTAGGTACTTTATATATGGCTTCTTCAAGCTATAAACCATCTTTAAATTCTGTGTATCAGTATTTATTACATAATCGTTTTGATACTCGTGTTTGAGTTTATGCAAATAGTTGTAAAGTGCCATGACTTTTTTTTGTTAGCTTTATAATAACGAGGTGGATCCTTGTTACTTGTTCTGCTTGGCACTTTGTGAATCCTACCAACTAGTTAAATCTTGCTTTATTTTTTCCCCCCTGTGCTCTACATTTTAGGCGCTTCTATTCATGACTCTTAATGGAGGGAGATTCTTTATTAACGTACAACGTCAAGCATTACTCTTCTCTTCTTGCTCTTGCTAAATGTTTAATGCATTATGCCTTTGCCCACAAACCTTCTTCCTCAAAATTGAAAGTTCTTTGATGTTGGTTCCTATAATTTTCTTGGATGAATTATCAACCCTTCTCTCTCAAATTGAAAACATGCATCTTGTACATATAGCATATTAGTATGAACTGAGCTTACACAATTTGGTGTCCTTCAGGACCCTTGAAGTCCCTAGCTCCCGCATTGTGGTTATTGAGGGCATCTATGCTCTGAACGAAAAGTTGCGGCCTTTCCTGGATCTTCGCGTATCTGTGAATGGTGGAGTACACTTTGATCTCGTTAAAAGAGTTTTACGTGACATACAACGTGCTGGGCAGGAACCATCAGAAATAATCCATCAAGTATCTGAAACGGTCTGTTTCTCCAAATCATAACGCAAAGAAAGTTTGACTAGAATCTGTTCTCACACTCCCAGCTACAATTTCTTATGCAGGTTTATCCAATGTACAAGGCTTATATTGAGCCTGATCTCAAAACTGCACACATAAAAATTATCAACAAATTTAATCCTTTCTCTGGATTCCAGAGTCCTACTTACATTCTAAAGGTAAGAGTACTAACTTGATTTTAAAACCTCCTACATCTGGTTTTAGAGGATTATAGCTTCTAAACATTATATCTTAAAGTTCTGAGAAATGACTGATCTATTCTTTTTTCCTTACCTTTTTAGTCATCAAGGAATCCGAAGACAGAACTAATCAAGTCTGTCTTGTCTGAAGAACACACTGAGAGTACGGAACAGATTTATGACATATACCTTCTGCCACCTGGTGAAGATCCAGAGACATGCCAATCATATCTGAGGATGCGAAATAAAGATGGGAAATACAATCTCATGTTTGAGGTATGCTCCTTTTTCATAATGATGGATCCTTTTGGAAGAATGACAGGCAATGAGCTAGATTACAGTCACTGTCAATAACCTAAAGCTTTAGCGTCATTTGGCTGAATAACTCAGAAGATAATGAGTCTCATTCATTTCATGCTCATTCTACTTTGGGATGGATAGAATTCCATGCTATGGGATCTACAGGCACAACTTTAAGTAAAAGTGTAATTTTATTACTGAAGCACTGTACCGAGATAGTACAGTGCGGAAACAACAGAAAGAGAAGCCGGATACGAATCGTATTGTATCTGTAAGGATCCAAAACATGTTCCAGCATTATGTCACCATTAAAATTAAAATCAGCATTACACCAGGTTTGTAGATTCTGAATACATCTATATTTAACAAGCAAAATGTTCTCCTGCTTTCCTTTGAAGCATCTACGATTCCTTTCCAACCAAAGAGTCCATATTATTACTTAGAGGATCGGTTCTCCAAATCTTCTGCTGCTTCTTCCTCATCTTCTGATTTTGCTAACTGCATAAAGCTTTTACTTCAAATTGGCTGGCTCAATATGATTTGAATTGTAGGAATGGGTCACTGATTCTCCATTTGTCATATCACCAAGAATCAGTTTTGAAGTTAGTGTGCGTCTTCTTGGTGGATTGATGGCTTTGGGATACACAATGGCGGCCATCCTCAAAAGAAGCAGCCATGTATTTTCTGATGAAAGGGTCTGTGTGAAAATTGACTGGCTTGAACAACTGAACCGCCACTATGTGCAGGTAAAGATATTTTCTTCACTTTATTCATCTCATTATGATGACATCCAAAACTTATGGTCTTGTCGAGGGGGTTTCTTTTGATGTTCGAATACAATCGAGCTACTAGGGTGTAATTCAAATGAGTAAATGTCCCTTCAAATTTGATTTCCATTGTGTGGATACGGTCATTCAGTTATACCCGAGCAACAATCGCCTAACCACAAAATGATTTTATTCATTAACTATAGAAGGCTTGAAAAATGCATCGAGTCTGCGGGGAACCTTTTTCTATTATTTCTTGCGGTGTCCTCATAATCATACCTATAAAAAACGACTGTTTATTAATTGTTCAGAATTCAAAAAATCATAAAAATAAAAAATTTAACAAGTCTAATATTTTTTCTCTTCTCATACAAGAATATTCAATTTTTAAACTTCAAGTGAGTACCAATTACAGAGATTTTCTTCTGGCAAATGAAGAAAATCTCATATTCATATGCTGAAGGTTGAGTATATAGTTGTCTCTTTTTTCATAGTTGATAAACTAGAATGGCAGGTTGTTTCTTTGGAGTCATAACTGAGAATGTTATCTAAACTTCAAAGTTCAAATATGCTAAACTCTATTAAACTTTTCCTAGGTCCAAGGAAGAGATCGTGTTGTTGTAAAATGTATAGCTGATCAGCTGGGTTTGGAAGGCTCATATACTCCGCGTACATATATTGAGCAAATACAGCTAGAGAAGCTTGTGAATGAGGTTATGGTATGATACCTTCCTTAGCATTTGTGATGCACTGTCCCTACTTCTTATCCCTAAGCAGATACACAATTGCAGGCATTACCAGATGACTTGAAAACAAAGCTTAGCCTAGATGAAGATATTGTCGCAAGCCCTAAAGAAACTCTCTCTCGAGCCTCGGCGGAGAGAGTATCATGGAGAAATAAGAATATCAGAAGGTGCAGCACTTAATCCATTTCTTCCATACCGTCTACTTGTTTATTCAATGATACCTTCATCAATAATAAACTGAATGATGTCTTGTCTGTGGGCAATAATTTCTTATTGCTTAAAGAGTTATCTTCTAGTCAACCTTCGATAGCTTCAGCAATTTGTTTTTGGGGCTGCTTTCATGAAAGGA